CAAGAGTGGCTCACCACCCGAGTCTCGGCACCGCTGGTGTAGGCTGCAAAAGTCGTAAAAGACCGCGTGCCGGCACGGGGAGCAGTGCTGCGAAGACTGCGCCTCCAGCAGCTTGAGCGTGCGGGCCAAGGCGCGCAGGCTCTCCCCGTCTGGGTCTGGGTGGTGCGGCGTGCACCAGGCGTGAGACACGCACACAATGGGCAGGCCGCGGATCGCTGAGGTCGCAACCTCATCGGCAGACAAGAATGCCTCGGGAGGCAGGCACTGACGCGGATGAGGCACGCCGCCTGCCCCAGCGAGGCGAATCAGCCAATGCGCGTCGAGCAGCGCGATTGCGCCAGACAGGAGCACAGGCTCAAGCTCCGCGCCTCCGAGCTCGTCCCAGCCCACCCTCACCGCCGCTGTGCCCCTGCTCTTCTCGCAGCAGCCGCCCATTGATTCGCTATCCCTCGTGCACGGGGCTGCTAACCAAACCCGGCTCCTACAAACTTTTTGTTACCACGGATTTTCCGGCGCGTGAAGCCCTTTGTTGGGCTGCTCTACTTAGCGTCCCCCTCCAGGGGCGCTTTTCCGCCCCGAATTGTGATGTTCGCCCAAAACATATGGATTTGCACCGTGTTTGGGGGGAAATAGAGTGACCTTTTGAGTGCTGTATCCTGCCTGTACATATATATATCACGGACGGATACCAGTCACCACACGAAGTCCTGCGTTCTCGCACATGGAGTGCGAGGTTCTCGGCTTTCAATCCCAAACTGTCACTCCCCTTTCTCCCGGCCGGGGTGGGGCGCGCGAGTGTGCGGGATGTCTGTCTGTGGGCCCGAGAGCGATATGCCATGTCCGCCTTGCGTTGTTTCATAACATCGAAGGCTAAGCTCAAACAAAAATGAGGGGAGTTATCGAGTTAGGTGCGTGCCGAAGGCGGCGGCGGCGGCGGCGGGGCGGGGGGGCGAGGCGGGGCGGGGCGGGGGCCGGGGGGGGGGGGGGGGTTCCCTCTCTTGTCGGGTGGCTTGCTTGCTTCCAAGCGGGCTTGTTCTGCCATGCTTGGGCCTTGCACTCGCCTGCGCTTTTGGGGCCTCTGACCCCGTCCTTTTGAGGCGCGCCTGTTATCCTATGGGCTTCCGCCTACGGCCTTTTTCTTTGTTGGGCCGGGTCC